AGGAGCTCTGGTCTCGTCCCAGCCCCTACCTCAACTTGCTTTGTGATTTGGTCACCCTGTCACTTCCCCTCTCCGAGCCTCAGTCAGGCCAGACGATGCCTTAGGGCCCCTTCCAGCTCTAGCATTCTGTGGGCCTGCACGGAGCCTCCTGGGGAAGAGATCTCAGTCTGATATTCATGTATCCTTTCCAGATCCCTCAGCAGTAAAAGCAAAAAGAAAACAGTCACATATTGGAATGTGATCATAAAAGCAATGCCCTCTACCCCTGTCTGTGAAGAAGGCGGAGCAAAATGCCCCTGTGCGATCTTCGCATGAACAACGAGAACTCTGGACACACTTTCCCTTCTGCGTTCTGCGGACTGCACACAGCCCTGTGTGTGTGGAGAGGTCCTGGCAGGCCTGTCCCCGCACTGGGTCACGTCTCCTCTTAAGGCACTGGGCAGTAACTGTGCTGTGACTCTAGGTGGTTGGGAGAGTGCAGATGGACAGAAGGCGTTGAAGCCACAAGGGGCAGTTTGCAAAGAGGATGCCAGGCTTCTCCTGGGGCTCAAGAAGTAAACACAGATTCTCAAGGCTTTCCCTTGGACATGGTCCACAGCTCCAGAAGCCAGACATGACCCACACAAGGCTGAAACCATGGGGAAGAACTGGCCCAAACCTAATTTTTAAATGCAGCCCTGCAGAAGGGTGAGGTTGGGTCCTGGGAGCAGAGTGACCCCAACAGCCTCCCGGCGCCCCCTGCCCCCCTGCCCCACAGTACCATAATCTTACAGAAAAGAGGCCAACTGCTTAAAACTGTACCTGTACAGAGATGCCACCACACTCAGTGGGGAATCCCATTATAATTTATATATATGTGCATATTTATATATTTTTAAAAAGTCTTCCAGAAAGAACAATCGAAAGCTATTGGGAGAAGAAAGACAAGACAACATGTAACACTTTCCCAGCTATCACTCATCCTGGAGTTTCTGTTCCTGGGGTTTAAAACTCTTGAGTTTAAAAGCGCCGATATGAATCCTTTGAAATAATATCACTGACCAACTGAAATACATACACAAGGTGGCACGCTGATGGCAGGCAGCCCTTCCCACTGGCGCACTTCCTGAGCTCACGAAGGTGAAGGTGCTGTGGAGAAATGACGGGGCAGGGGTGTCGGCTACCAAGCCCGAGCGGCGAGCAGCCCGAGTTCACCCACGGCTGGTGTGCGGGCGGGTGCTCCAGGCCTCCCTCAGAAGTTCTGTTGCCGCCGCTTCTTAGCCTCAATGGCGTCCAGGATCGGCTGCCTCTTGGACTGGTACTTCTGCCGGATCTCTTCAATCTCTTGCTCCATCATGGGGTCGAGGGCCAGGAGCCTCTTCTGAAGGTCCTCCACTGTCCAACTCTTAAGCTAGAAGAAGTGGAAAGTACGGTCGTGACAAAGCCCAGGTCAGCGCAGAACAGCCGAGACGCCGAGCCTGTCCGGGCACCCAGAAGGGAAGGGTCTTCCCAGAGTCTGGGGTGGCAGTGGTTGGAAAGTGACAATTCATTCACTAACGGCATGCCCCAAGCTCTGTGAAGATAATTTATCCCTGGACAAGTTCTCAGTGCTAATCTCTTTGATTTACTCCGCCTTGACCAAGAACTTAACCAATAATACTTTCACCCCTATCTTTTCAATGAATTACATATCGATGCATTGTTAGGGCATTAAAATAACAGCCACTTGGGGTACGCAAAATAATGCTTGCCCCTAATTCTTGTCCTACCCTTCAGATGAGCCTCTGGATGGTGACCGTGTCTCTTTCTGGGAGAGAGACACCAGGGAGAGTGGATGCTCACTGAGGAGCAGATGCTCCCCCGCCCCCGAAATGTCTTAGGCACTGCCATAGTGATCATCATTAACACTTATCAGGTGCTAATCATATACCAGGCACCCCTCGAAGTGCTTCACACACAAGTGTCTTAAGAATAGAGACACAAGCCTTGGGCGTGGAGTGGCAGGGATAGTTGGAAACCTCTGAGATTAAGTTTCCATCATCCAGAGGGAACAACAAGACTTAATATATAAAGGAATAATAAAAGCTAGTACTTATATAGTGCTTTCTATGTGCCAACCGCTCCGTGCTCTCCATACACCCATTCGTTTAATCCTGGCAACAACCCTATGATGTGCATATACTATCATCCCCATGTTATAGATGAACAGGCCAAGGAAGAAGGCGGGGAAGTAACTTGCCCAGTGTCTCGTGGCAAGTAAGTGGCAGAATCAATATTCAGACCCAGGCGGTGAGGCTCCAGACTTCCCGCTCTTAACTGGTATCAGAGAAGAGCAGGCTCGCAAAGCCCAGTTTTGAGAACCAACTCCATCTGTAGTTCAAACATGGCTCTGCCTCTTGCAAATGCTGAGACTCTGGCAAGTCACCTATCTCTCTCCAGGTGGTTCTCCCCTGTGGAAATGGGACACCCATGCCTCATCGGGCTTAACATAAGAATTAAATGTGACCGTGGCTGTAAAGATGTTGGCACAGTGCCTGGTGCACCGTGTGCTTAAAGCAGGCGGTGCACGTCACAACCCTCTCTCTATATACCAGAGCCCGGGAGTGTGCTCATGTCCGCCCTGTGTCCGCCGCTGTGGGGTAAGTGGTTTCACTGCTGTATGTACGGAGTGTCACTGAGTCCAAGCAAGGCCGGTCCTGGCTGGCAGGGGTGGGAATGAAAGCCCCCATTATCCACAGCAGGTGGTGATTAATTCTGTGCATTTACAACCAGTCTAATAGGTGCAGTGTTCCAAGAACTCAAAGGCTCACTCAAGTCTTCGGAGAGATTTATGGAATCACTGTATCCTCCAGCTCCTTCCTGAGGCCTCAACAGGGAAGCGGGTGTAAGAAGGGGGTGAAGGAGCCTCTTTCTGGCCACCCTTCCTTTCCAGGGTGGGGTGCGACCGAGAGGGAAGGACTACCATGGCCTCTCCAGGAACAGTTTAGTGCCCTGTCGCCACAGGAATTTGCCTTGGCCTGCTTCAGGGAGGTGGTCTGAGAAGCAAGAAAAGCCTAACAGTTCAAGACGAAAGGCTCTTTGTGAGGTGGGAATGCAGAGCCGAGAGGGGGGTGGATGCTGGAAAGCTGCGCTCATAAAACCACATCTTGTTTCCAGCCTGTGGTTTCAGACCAGCTGGAGTCTGGGGACTCTCCAGAGAGCAATGCTCGCCTCATTTTTAGGCTTTTCAGTTCCTCCTCTGAAAAGAAACTGCCCAAAACCTAATACTGAGTGTTACTGGTAGCTGGGGTATTAATCTTTAGGATCCCAGATGGTTCGTCTCTAGTGGCTGTGCAACCCCGGACAAGTGACCTCACTTCTGAGCCTCAGTGGCCTCCCCTGGAGAAGAGACCCCGGTTCCGCCATTCTTGGGCTCTCACGAGGATCAGGTGGGTTAACAGGTATGACGTTCTCAGCGCGGAACTTCACACGGTGTGCAATTCGCATAAACTGTAGTTATCACCACAGTTGTTAATAACTGCTGTTGTTGCTATTAATACTATTGTTATTAATATTTTGAAAAGTCTCTAATGAATCGCCCATAAACAAAATGTTCCTATACCTCTGATCCAAGTCAGAATCAAACAAGTAAAACGAAAATATTCTACTCTATTTCAGGCTAACAATACCGAAGGGTCAGCATTTTCCCACATCTGTTAACTTATTTATAGTTTAACAAAATATTTTTCATCCATCCAACCATCAAATATGCACTGAACACCTACCATGGGCCAGGCACTGCCCAAGGCACACAGGATAAAAAAAAAACAAAAACCAAAAACCAAAAATCACTGCCCTTGTGAAGCTTATTACATTTTAGTGAGGCGAGACAGACACCTGAGAATGAACTCAATAAATCAGAAGATTACTCTCATGCAAGAGAGTGAAAGGGGAAAGGAAAGAAAAACCTTAGCGAAGGAAGGGGAGCTGGGAGTTGGTAGACTCACTCTTCATCATCCATCAGGACAAAGCGTCCACTATGAAGACCTCAAGGTCAGGGAGGCGGCCCTGGCTTTCCAGCTTGTTCGGCAGCTTCAGACCAGCCCCTCCTGCCCGCCCCCCAGGCCTCCGTCTCCCCCCATGTAAGAGAGGGCTGCCGAATGACCTCAGGTCTTGTTAGACTCAGTGGTTCTCTCCGTAGGACCCATGGATCGCGAGCGTCAGAATCACGTGTTAAAGGGCTGTGCGCGACCTGCTCACACCCGCTCTCCAGGTGAGGGTTCTGCTCACTGAAGGAGCTGCGCGAGTGTCTCCTGCGGCCCCTCCAGTCTGCCACGCATGGTTCTACGTCCTCTTCCTCGTTTTTGTCAGAGCAAAACTCGCACACAGTTACTGCTGTCGCCAGTCAAGGCTTCTCAGTATCCAATTTCTATGCAGCCCTTCTGCCCTCCGTCTAATCTGGAAACAACAAGCACCCCTGCTTTACCACCGCCACCTTCGGACTAATTTACTTGCCCTAAGGCTTTGGGCTTAAGTTACACCTGACCCATTAGAACACAGCCGGCCAGTCACCGCTAATGCCTCGGTCACACTCCAGATATGGATTTTTCTGAAAACGAGCTCAGAGAATGGTTCCGTGGTGCCAAAAGTAGCCTCTCACCTTCCTGGTCCTTGGTGGCAAAAATACACTTCCAACGGATATCTTGCAGTGAAGTACCTGTGGTTCTCTGGTTTTGCTAGCCAGCTTGCCGAAGGAGCCAACCCTGGCCCGGCCGTGCAGGGAGCTTGAGCTGTTCACAGTAGTGAAGGAAGTACCACCTTTCGGGACCTTATTTGTCCCCTGGCATTTACACATCCTCTCTGTACTGTGACCCCCACACGTACGGCTCCACAGCAGCATTCTCTTCTGAACACCAGGCTCACACATGCAGGGGCAGATCCTACTTTACATGTCAGCCCCAGATCAGCTCATGGAAATCCAGCACCTTAATCCGACCAAAACAAAACTCTCGAGTCCCACCCTTCCCTCACCCCCAAACCTGTTCTCCTCACATCCTGGCCTTCCCCATCTCAGGAGGGGCACCACCATCCTGCCAGGCATAGAATCATCCCTGATTCTTCCTTCCCCTCACCACCCCCTGCCCACATCCCATCCTTCGATCTCATCTCTAAAACGTGGGAGTAACTCAAATCCAACCCCTCAGCCCAGGCCACCAGCATTTCACGGCGACAAGCATAATTTAAAATACAGAAAGGAACCAGATCACATCCCCCTCTGTTTCCTGCTGCACTTAGAATAAAATCCAACAACACACCAGGGCTACAAAGGCCTTCCATCTCTGGCCCCACCGGCCCCTCGAGCTTCATCACCTACCACTCTCCCCTTTGCTCAGGACCCTCTAGCCACCCTTTACTTCAAATCCTCAAACAAGCCACACTTTTTCCGGCCCCAAGGGCTACCCAGTGACTGATCCTTCTGCCCAGATGGCTCGTCCCCCGTTCTTCCTTATCCTTTAGGCCTTAGCTCACAGATCAACCCCTCAGGGAATGTGAGCAAGCCTTCCCTGAGCATCTTCTCTAGAAAGATCACTCACCTCCCCTCATTCTCGATCTCAGTCCCTACTATACTTCCTTCAAAATGATCATGGCACCTTGTAATCAATCATTCTTATTTCTTTTCTTTTACTTGTTGTGTCTCTTACTAGGACGAAAGTTCTATGAGGGCAGTGACTTTATCTTGTTCACTACACTACGCATTATATTGGTTGAGGGAATGAATAATTTGCCCTTCATTTCCAGTCAAATAATAACGGAAGCCACTGAAACCAAGAAGCAAGCTTCCCCAAGCACCACCACGTGCAGGGCTCTGGGTAAGGTGCTGAGGGGACCCAGGGAGTGAGTCCTGCCTTCAAAGAGCTTCTATTCCTCTCAACATTCTTTTGAAATTGAAGGAAGTCTGCTCCCTTGATTCCCATTTCTGTGTGTGATACTGACTGATTAAGAAACAGGTCTCCAACCCTGGCTTAGTCACCTCTAAAAGGCCTGTCCACTTTAATTTTTTATTCTGACAAAAAAGAACTACTACTTTGGAAAGAACGAGATGATCAGAAGACAACGTGATCCTTCTGGACAAGACAAAATGCCAAGCCCAGAGCCACAGGCTCCCTAATGAAGAAGGTGGGTTATGCTGAAGAGAAGAGACCAAGCACAGGGATTTTCTGCCCTCTTCCTGACAGAGGTCGCAGAAGGGAGGAGAAACTAAACTAAGCCCTTAACCATGGTTATTTAGAATCCCCTGACCACCTGGATGCTAATCAACACATCAGCCTTGAGTAGATGGACACGGATGGGCTCAATCTGACCATGCTGATGTCGTGCGGCTAGACACACTCTCTAACGAACACCTCGACCCCACTCACCATTACCTTTCAC